GGGAGACGACCTGCATGGGTGGTTTGCATGTGGGGGGCTGAAAACCAAGGCCCCACATTTCATTCGGGGGGGAGGATCCCTCCCCTATGTTAAATACCCCAGAGAAAATAACCCACCATCTCCCCTTGTCCGGGGTAGGTAGGACTAGCCATGGTTGCCTGGACAGCCCCCCCTCCATTGTTCCCGGCTTTAATTTTTATTTGTAATTAAGACTCTAGCTGCTAGGATGGCAAAGAAAAGCTTCGAAACGCGACTGGAGGAGAACCAACGTCTGCCTGAGTCTTCTGAGAGCCTGCGCCGATTGCTGGGAGAGGTGTGAACTGCCCCCAGTGTAACCAGTACAGCATACAAAGATCTTGAGACTTCAGCTTTGTGCGGGATCTTTATTACAAACACTCCCACACCCCACCCTCCGGCTACAAACAAATATTCGCTGCCTATCCAGTGAAGAGGAGTTAACAACTGAGTCACCCCCCTCCATGCATCCCATATTCCTGGACTGACCTACCCTTAAAATCCTTCTCACCTCACTGGCCAAGACCAAAGAGGCAGGGAGGTTGGGTAGGGTGACCAGATGTCCCGATTTTATAGGGACAGTCCGGATATTTGGGGCTTTTTCTTATATAGGTGCCAATTACCCCTCACCCCTGTCCCGATTTTTCAAACTTGCTATCTGGTCACCCTAGTCAGGGGTCACCAAAAATGTTGCAGCCTCACTTTCCAAAAACAAGTTAAATTGACAGTCACCATTTGTTTTTCCTTTAAAAAGACAGATCTCTAGCCATTAAAAATAAAGAGAAAGATGATAATTTATATCAGGAGAAATTCTTGGTTTTTTTAGCACCAGAAGTGGCCGACTCATGCCATCCTGTGGTGTGGAGTTCCCCAGGTGAAGGTCCGGCATTCAGCACTTCCCGGAAGGACAGCGACCTGGAATAAAGAGAGACATGGGGTCAGAGCTTCAAGAGAGCATCACATCTCCAAGAGTGAGTGGAGGCTGGTGCATCTATAAGGGATGCCCACATACAGAGTGATAGACGGCCATTCCCTCTTGGAGTCCCTGCCTCCCCCCTTCACTAGAGAAGAGGGCATGGATTCTGCATGGGACATACCATCATATATCTTACCTGCTGCACCCCCTTTCCCTGAAATAACCCCCCTGAAATTCACACTGCTGTGACATTTGCAGCCACTTCCTGCCTCAAGCCCTTAGCCAAACTGCAGAGATTCGGCTCCTTTAGCCTATGCCCTCCCCAAAGAAAACCCCCTCCAAGATTCACACCTCTCCCCCATCTCTGAGATTCACACCCCACTGATACACATGCCTTCCCCAATTCTTACCTCTGTATCCATTCCCCAGAAAGCCGTTCAGGCCATACTTGGCCTCCTTGCCTCCTAAAAGGGGATGAGAGTAGATGAGAACCGGTCACAGGCCGTCCCGGTGTCTGCTGCCCAAAGGAGAATCGCTCTCCGTGGACAGCACTAGAGGGCATAGGACACACACGCAAGAGCAGTTTTGGTTGCATCACCAGACAATAGGATGCAATGTGAAATCTCCCCCCCCCCACTCCTACCGTATGCTGTTGGGGTTAGTCCATAACCCCCGGGAGCTTGCCCTGCTGTGAGTGGCCCGTATCCCCCTGCAACAGAGACAAGAGTGAGCATGGGGCGCTGAGGGGAGTGGGGCAGGAGCGCTGGCTGTGGGGGGAGCTCCCGCTACTCCAGTCCCAGGAGGGGATGCTGGGGTCGGGAGGGATCTTACCAGCAGCCCGTCCATTAGCCTGCAGGTCCCCTCCGTTCGCATATCCTGGTCCGTTCCCGTTGCCTGCAGTGGTGGAAGGAGGAAATTAGCACAGGGAAGGGGCTTTGAGCCCCTAGGGATGGGCACCCGTGTGTCCAGACACAGGAGGAGAGCAGGCACCAATCTGGGCAGCCCCTGAGCATTTCTTACCATCCAGGGCACTGGGCCCAGCCAGTTGTGCCCCATACATCAGCTGCCCCGTGCCACCTGGAGGAGGAAACACAGTGGTGGTGGGAGATCAGCAGGGAAGCAGGAGATCCCACCAAGGGCTGGGAAGGAGAGTGGTGCTGAGACCCCAGGGAGCGTTTCCTGGGACTCTGGGACCCCGGCATCCGGGTGGCCCTCATCCACTGGGGGCAGGGATGGGAGTGGATATCCCAGCAGGGCTGCTGCACGGTTTCCTGTCAGCACCCAGCCCGGGGCGCTGCAGGCCATAGGGGAAATGCCCGGGGTCTCCTGGTTAGTTTAGGCAAGGCAGGGTTAGCGGGGGGCATTCCGGCCCCCCACCCCACATCTCTGCGCAGGGTGCGGGGGCTAAGATATTGGGCGACCTAGCACAGACCCCTGTGCCTCAAATAACCCTCCAGGAGGGGAGACTGCCCACTACAATCTCCTCTATAACAACCCTCTGGACAAGTTCCACCCCCTATATGAGCCCAGAGTCCCTACCCACACCTACCGTATTTCCCAGCGCTGTAGTCTCCCCCTAGACCAGTGGGCATGGCCTGTTGGGGCTGCCCATTGTATGGGAGCTGGCCCAGGCCTGCAACATAGACAGGGTGTCAGGATGGGGGGATAACTCCCCTTTGTGTCCCCCTTGAGCCAGCCAGTTCCCCACACTGGGGCTGGATTGGAGCAAAAGGCCCCGTGGCCCATTTCCTATCCCCCCAAACCAGGCAGTCCCCTGCCCTGCGGTCAGGACTCACCAAATTTAGCAGCCGAGAGATCTGTGCCAGGGCCAGCGAAATGCCCTAAGTATGCGGCCTGGGCACCTGGGGATGGGATAATATAAGGCAGTTAGCTTGGCCAGTGCCCCTCACTCCCGACCCGCAGCCCCCTGCTAGCCCAGCCCTGGGCTCCCCCCCAGCTCTGCCGGTGCCCCTCACTCCCGACCCGCAGCCCCTGCTAGCCCAGCCCTTAGGTCCCCCCCACAGCTCTGCCAGTGCCCCTCAATCCTATCCCTCTGTCATTGGACACACCGTTGCCGTATCCTGACTGGACTCCGGCCCCAGGGTGATTGTTCCCTCCTGCACCGTAGCCTAGAAGAGAGATGGGAGATCAGACAGGCTCAGCCTGGGTGTGTGGGGGAAGGGGGTATATTTTGGGATCCCCTTACCATTCCCATAGCCGGGCTGTGCTCCGTTGACTAGGTACCCACCGCCTACTCCAGGATAGCCTACAGAGCCAAGAGAATTCAGATCAGCCACAAATTGGGGTGCACTGCTCCAGTCCCGGCCTCTCCCAGCAGGGGGCGCTGTGGGGAGTGGGGCAGGGCGCTGGCTGTGGGGGGAGCGCCTCTCTATTCCAGCCCCAGCCTTAGCTTATGCCCCTTACCTTGTTGAGCTGTGGGGTAGCTGCCAGCTCTGGGTCCTGCCCCAAAACCTGTGGGGAGGAGAACCCAGAATGAGATCAACCCAGAGCCTGAAGAATCTGGCTTCCACACTGTGGGCTCTGGCATTTGGGGGTGGGATCATGGGGGGCGGAGAGGGATAGAGTAATGGGGGGGAGTTGGTTAGCAGGGGGTTGGGACCTGTGGGGGGGAGGGCTTTCAACCCCTTCAGGGCCCCCACAGCCCAGTGAGCCCCTCTCCCCCAGGGAGTTGGAGGGGGCTCTCCTCAAGGTGTCATTGGTGTGTGCTGTGGGATCTCCAGCGAGAAAAGAAACAGGTGGTGGGGGATGGGGAAGAGGACACAGGACGGGGCGCACATCAAGAGGGATGGAGACACCGCAGGGGACACCGATGGGGGGTGAATGGGAGGGATTCTCTGCTTTGGGGGCTTTGCCAGCCACCCCAAGGCCTGTTGGGGAGGAAAAGCAGAGGGGTCAGGGTGCATGGGGCGGGGGTGTAGTGGAGGGCCAGGCACTGATCTCCCTGAGAAGGGGCAGTTAGAGGAGCAGAGTGGGTATGAGAATATAAGGGGCAGTGGGGTCCGACTCACCTCCCAGGGGCAGCGCAGCATGGAAGTACCCTGAAATAGACACACAGAGTACAGGGGGAGCCCTCAATCCTGACCCACAGCTTCTGGCTATCCCAGCCCTGCCCCCACCAGCTCTGCCGGTGTCCCTCAATGCTGACCCACAGCCCCCTGCTAGCCCAGCCCTGCCCCCACAGCTCTTCCGGTGCCCCTCAATGCTGACCCACAACCCCTGCTATCCCAGCCCTGCCCCCACCAGCTCTGCCGGTGCCCCTCACTGCTGACCCACAGCCCCCTGCTAGCCCAGTCCTTCCCCCACCAGCTCTGCCAGTGCCCCTCAATGCTGACCCACAGCCCCCTGCTATCCCAGTCCTGCCCCCCAGCTCTGCCGGTGCTCCTCACTCTCGACCTGCAGCCCCTTTGTTTACACTCACCTGGCTTTTGTTTTGCACCCTGGGGATAACCACCTAATCCTGGCAAAAGGAGAATGGGAATCTATGAGGACACTGGGAGGGGTGTGGAGCCTTATGGGTTAGAGCGGGGGGGCTGGGAGCCAGGACTCCTGGGTTCTCTCCCCAGCTCCGAGAGGGGAGTGGGGGCTGGTGGGTTCAGCCGAGGGGTAGCACCACGGATACCCACGGCCCATTTTTGTGGCTGACGGCTGGGCTGCGGACACAGATGTTGTACCCGTGCCGCTCGCGCTCTGCACCCAGCCCTCGGGCTCCGAATCCCGCCCCGCTCTCTCCATCCCGCAGCAGCAGCATGTGGCCCTGGCCCACAGAGCATTCTGGGAGTTGTAGTCCCCAGCTGGCTCGGCCTGAGGGGAGCGCACCAGGCGCTATTTTGAACAAGGCGTGGTTGTGCTTTAAACTCCCGGGCAGCGGGCGCTGTGAGCAGAGCAGAGTATGTCTGTGCCCGGGTGTGGGGGTGTCCCAGCCACTCGGGAGGACGGTGCTGCATGCCAGGGCCCCGGAGGGGAGGCAGCCCCCAGCCCCGAGTGGGGCCGGTGGTCCATGGGGCAGGGCAGGTGGGGTGTCTGTGGGAGGCTGAGGCTTGACACAGCCCTGTCGCTGCTGTGTGGTGCCCTGCAGAGCTGTTTGTGTCCGCGCAGGGCTCAGCAGTCCTCGATGTCAGGACTCCTGGGTTCTATCCCTTGCCAAGCCCCAGCCCCGT